CAGAGAGCATTTCATGCCTCGGTGCTGGAGTGGCAGGCACTAAGTAAGCAGGGCCAGCGCATCTCTGAATGTGCCTCCCCACTGAGTTCTTCTTGCAGGGGGTGGAAATCTGCTGCTTCATGCAGGGAAAAGTTATGCAGACAAGCTGTGTTTTGGTGCCTGGTTTTGTGCAAAACATGGAAATCCTTTCCTGCGTGGTCTCTTTTCATTCTTTTTGCTGTCAGTCATTGCACATGTCATCAGTGTCTGTGGAAAAGACAGCATGGTCAGGACACAAGCCTACTACAGCCTCCAGTGTGTGAAAAGCAACATTAGCTTAAAGATTTTCACATGAGAACTGCTGGTGATTGACAGGACATACAGTGCAGTCATTAAAACCAGAAACCTGTGTCTGCTCTGGAACCCCTTGCTGGTGTCCAGGATTAAAGAGACCATAACAAACTGCATTACTGGTGCAGACGTGAGCAAGCCTTGGGTTTGTGCTGGAAACCTTGTTTCTGCAGCACAGTTCAGCTTGCTTCAGCAGCCAACGAGAAGAGAATTTGTGCAGCATGCTTAGGGTAGGTTCATCCAGCCTGGTACTGTACCCAGCATGCTCTTATTTGCATCCCTCCGAGCTAGGATGCAGATGACAAGGTGCAGCCCAGCAGACTGCAAACAGCCAGGTGTAGTGCAGGTTTTTCTACTGGATTTAAGTGTGCTGCCATCAGTGCTGCACTCAAAACAGCTGGCTTTGTTGCACTGCAAGCTGCTGTCACGTTAGCTAGTGTCAGATGCCAGCCATTTACAGTATGCGCCATCACAGCATGACTTAAGTTGGCAACACAGAGTCAATCACATGCCAGCAGCCTACTGTAAGGGTGGGGGAGTGTGTGGGAAGAGGGGGGGAGAAGATACTCTTATAAAATCTTTTAATGATTTATTTTTAATATCCATTTTTCAAGCCTTGGGAAGTGCAGTCCATATGCTTTTCCCTCCTGGCTGTAGCTGGCAAAGCAGCTGATGAATATGGTCCTTCACACTCCTTCCATTTTGCGAGGAGCCAGAAGATACAGCTATATTTAGCATGTTACCAAGGCCAGCAGCAGAGTCTGTTGCTGGGTGGTGATTCCCTGGCTGCAGGCTCATGTGCTGGCCAGGACAGGGTGGGAATGTGCCTTCCCTGGAGTCAATACTCGTGCTAAATTAACAGCAACAAACTCCTCTGGTTACAGCAGGATGGCTGCACTGGTCTCAGCAGGCTCAGCACGCTGCTCGCTGACACAGGTCAGTCTCTGAGCACCGTGCCCCTTCCCGAGACATGCAGCAACCTACTCCATGTGCTAGGATGGTGCTTTTTGGTGCAGTGCTCAGCTGGGAGAGTGTCTCAGCAGGTTTCTGTGCAGGGCCCTGGGACTGTCCTGTGCCCTGTGCCGAGCATTTGGTGTGGTGGAGCCACAGCTAGTCCCTGCAGCAAAAGTGCGACTTTTAGTGTAAAGATGCTCATCTGAAACTTATGGGCTTGATTCCTGTTGTATTTTCTCATACTGTATTCCTAGGCCACCCAGGTATAAAATGGAGTTGTCCTTATTTGTCCCCAGCCCAGTATCCACAGAGCAGATTTGCTACCAGTTCCCTGTTGTTCTCCCTGCTGTGTTGCAGCTGGTACTGAGAAGTGAATAATGGCAGTTCCTTTGTCCTTCTGGCAGCTTTTGTAGAGCTGAAATTGGTCTTGAAGAGTGTCTGCATTGCTGAGAAGTGCTGAGAACTGTGGGCGTTGTGATGGAAGCGTAGAAGAAGGGATCACCCCTACCAGTGTTGGAGTTCAGAGGATACTAGGGATGCCCATCACTTTAGAGCGAGACATGTTGAAAGTTGTTTCATATCTGGATGTCTAAACTGGGAACATTTTGTGTCAGTCTCAATCACATCATCAGTTCCTAAAATTCATTGTCTGAGAGACGAAGAACCTACTGTGATGTTGGAGAGGGCAACCCGACTCAGCTGTGGCTTCTAACCCATCCTGGTGAAACACAGTAGTTGATGATACTCAGGATCAAAATGATGGAGAGGCAGAGCTAGACTGAAGGTGTGGTTTTAAATCCGAGTGCAGCAGTGATTCATTTAGTCTTCCCGGAGCCCTAGGCGGCCTGACTGACAGCCGTGCTGCACTTCGCAGCCTTCGCTCTGCAGCAGCATCTACACAGCTCTCAGTTCCTTGCAGATACACGTCCTCATTGAAGCCAGTAGCACTCTGTGTGGATACTGGTTTCTGCTCACAGCTCTGTCTGCCGGATCAAGGCCTCGTGCTGTATGGGGTTATTTTGTTGGTAATAAAAACATTCTGTTTGTAGAACCTCCTGTTGGAATTAAACAAACTCTGTTTTGAGAAAAAAGTAGAACAAAGCTTCACACCAAGCTGGGGTGGCTGGTATCAATGACATGCAAAATTTCAGCAAAGTTCTTTTCAAGTTGAAGCAGGCCCTGTAAGTATTGTTTACAAAAAATAGTAGCTCTTCTCCATTCCTGCAGTGTAGAAACATTACACAGATTTATTCCAAATTTGGCAGAAATTAGTGTTTCCCAACCCAAAGCACTTGTGCCAAGTTTCTACCAGGAGGAATTTCTAAGGCTGATGTGTAAGCCCTTAAAGGCTAGAGCTTAGAATAGAGCAGCTGCCTGGCCATCGACAACCCGCTGCTCTGTGGGGTCTGCTCCTGGTCTGCAGCACCCTGAGCAGCCCCGCAGCAGTTGTGGAGGTGGGATGCTGCAGATGTGCTCTGAGCCTGAATGCTGGACTCTCGTTTGGTCCCAGGTGATGGGAAGGGCTGTGGATGTGGGCCCATGCAGCTGCAAAGATGCCATGAGAAGGATGACCCAAACCTATCTAGTGTTGAGGAGTCCTTGTCTTCCAGATTAATGCAGTTATTTACCATGTAGTAGTGCTGGGTCCTCTGAGCACCAGCCAGCTGTGCCGTGCCATTTTACCCTCACTTTACACAGCTGTAAGAAAGTGTCTGGTGATGAAGATTCATGTCCTTGGGGCCTGTGAGCAATTAACTCACTGCTGGGGATCTGGGGCTGTTGGATGGCTGAGAAGCCAAAACAATAGCATTAAAAAGCCTCTTTCTTTTTGAATTGGGTTGTTGGGAGCCACTGGGCTCTTCTAGGAGCAGGGCAGAGAGTTTCACTCCACAAAGGCAGGCTGCTGAAGTTTGGGAGTGTTTTTTCCTGTCCCAGTGGGTTTAGCCCATCACTTCTTGCATTTAATTATTTGCCTCTAAATAACAACAGGGAGCCAGTAGTTTTGTTTAACTCTGATCTCCTTGGAGCAGATAAGAGAGGAGCCTCTTTCTCATGACGCTCCATCGTACAGCGCCTTTCACACCGCAGACGGGCTCTGTAGCCCTTTTCCCAGCGAAGCCATTATCCCCGCCCGGAAAGGGGGCAGAGGATTTCCCCAGTGAAGCTGTTATCTCCACCAGGAAAGGGAGCAGAGGAAAGCACACATAAGGCTTGAGGATCTTTGGCTGCTCTCCAGCAACCTGCCCCTCTCTTGGCATGCTGAGGAGCCTGGCTGGGGGTTCAAAAGCAGCCCCTGCAGTGGGTCACGGTGTCGGCTTTGTGCAGTGGTACCCAGACTGTCCGGTGATCCCACCCGTATGTTTGTACAGGCAGAGACAGGTCTTAAAAATCCCCAGGGGAGCATCCTGGATGCAGGCAGGGGGTTTCCACCCGTCTGTGCCCTGGGTGCAGTGGTGTGTAATGAGTGTACCCGTGTGGACCTGGTTACAGGGTTACAGCTCTGCTGCGTCTGATCCTGCCGACAGGAGCAGGTATATGGGGTCACCTGATGTGCCCCTTTTTTGAACGCAGACTTAATTATGTTGAGACTGAGAACTCGGTGTCCGGCCCTTGACGAGAGTGCCAGAGACAGGCTGGGTAATGGATGGGTCTGCTCCTTTGCAGGCCGCAGGAACAATTATTAGTTATCTGTCATGCAGCAGCTCTGTGGTCCCCAGGCCTGGCCTTGTTTTATTAGGCTTTGAATAGCTACAGAAGAATTACTTCCTCAAAAAAATTCACCATAAGTTATTTATAGAATTTATGCATAAAGTTGCATAAAATGTTTCTTGTATTCTGCATGCCTCTGTTTCCTGCGGAGGGAATACGCAGAGAAAGAGGGGAAAACCCCCTGGTTTTCAATAATTATTTCAACGACAAAGTTTGTTACTAGTTTTCTGTGTTCAGTGGACTATTGGTATTTATCTTCCTATGTCTACTTGTAAACACTATTAAAGCAAGGTACAGTTTATAGATGTTTTTTAAAAGTGATGGTCTCAGTTGATTTGAGGTGATCTGTAACATAGTGATCCTTTGCTTTTTCAGCGCCACTGGCTTCCCTAGTGCTTATGTTTATTTTAACAAGTGAAAGTGTGAAGGGGAAATTGTCTCAATTCTCCCTCCTGTGACTACCAGTGCTCAGCATCTGACTACACACATGTTGAAGATCAGAGGTGCTGCTTTACAGAGCTGTCGTCTTAATGTTTTACCCAGCGCCGCTGGGGAAGTGGTGGAGACAGTTTTGTTTCTCGCTGTCTGGTTGTCAGGGCCAATTAAGTGGTCTGGTGTTGGGAGGGAGGGGAAAAACAACCCACACAAGAAAATGGGGAATTTTTGTTGTTGTTTCTGGAGCTGGTGCCACTAACTTCTCAATATACTGGTATTTATGTTAGGGATTTTTTGTTTTGTTTTGTTTTTTACAGCAATCATTTTAGCATCAGGAAGCCTAACTTACAGGTTTAGCTTGATAGTATACAGTTAGGAGAAGTCATGTTGCTCTTCTCTTGACCTAAGTATTGCACTTCTATAGAAAAATCACAAAAGAGGCGCAGTAGCTACCAAACTGCCTCTGCTTAGATGATTGTGTTGTTACAGTAACCCAAACAATCCTTAATTAAATTTCTCTGGCTGCCCTGAGCGTTACATTTACCGAAATGCTGTTTCATTATGTTTTTTAGGGCCGGTGTACCCGAGAGAACTGCAAATATCTCCACCCTCCCCCACACTTAAAAACACAACTTGAAATCAATGGACGCAACAACCTGATCCAGCAGAAGACAGCCGCAGCCATGTTTGCTCAGCAAATGCAGTTCATGCTACCAGGCGCGCAGCTACAGCCGATTGTAAGTTACAGCAATGAATTGGGTTCACGCTGCTCCACGTTTCTTTCCTGTTTGCTCATGGAGGCCCCAGCCCTGTGCTTTTGCTCAGGCGGTTGTTCATGCTGCGCGGAGTTGGGCAGCATTTTCCAGAGGGATATCTGATGCTACTTCTGCATCTTCTTGCAAGCTGTGGCTCGCCTTTCCTCTGGTAACTAAGGCGCTGCGAGATGCAGGGTATCAAGTGGAAGGGTCTTACCACCAGATGGATATTTGACTGGTTAATTCATGTACATCCCAGAAGTCCCGTGTGGCTCAATACCAACGGATCCTATTTTGGATAGCTGTTTTACACTGGGGTGAGGATGCTGGAGTTCTTCCACGCAGTGGCGAGAGGCTGGTTGACTCCCTTGGACTACGTACGTTGTACTGGTGGACTAAAATTGGGGAAGATGAATCCTACCCAGACCTTAATACCTTTTTATGTCTGGGAATGAGACACATTTCACTGCAGTTGTCCCAGCAGAGAGTAGTGCTGTTTTATACTAACAGCAGGAAAGATTTGTTTCTCTTCAGGTAAGGAGGGAAGCCTGTGAGAGACGGGTGTTTGCAGAGCAGGTAGTTCAGAGAAGCCTTCACTGCCTGTCCCTGCTGCAGCCTATCGACTAAAACAGGTTTTCAGGCTGGAGAACCCTGTTATGCCAGGGAGAGGATGGCTTGTGTCTGCTGGCTGCTGTATCGGGGATGGGGTGACATTTGTCAGCTGAGTTTGAGTCTGTCACTATGTATATTAAGAAATGTCAGAGGTCTTGAAGCAGCTCTTCAGTGCTGACATAAATAAGCTGTACATTTTTTTAACCCAGAGCCCAATTAGGAATTCTCCATTTAAAGTCGGGGTTGGATATTTTTCCTGGGGCAACCTGCACCTGATGTGCAGTTGTTGGGCGAGGTTCCCTGTGCTCTGCCACACAGGAGGTCTGACTGGATCCCTAGGACAGACTCTACCAGCCTGAAGATGTGCGAGTCTGTGAACCAACCTGCACTTGGCCCCTTGGTGCCCCACCTACAGCGCTTGGCTCCTGTGCCCAAATGAGGCTTCAGACTCAGCAGCTGCCACCCCAGCTTTGCCAAGCTGGAGTGTCTCTGCTTTATCCTCACAAGAGACTGGTGGAGGGTTCTTCCTTGCTGGATGCTGTTGTGCTGTTTGGTGTAAGAGCTTGCAATGATGCTGTGTTTCAGGAGGGGAAGTTGGCCAGTGTCCCTCCGTGATGGTGTTCTGCCACCGTACTGGGGCATTTCCCCAGTCTGGCATGTTCCTCCTGTCTTGTGAAGGCTCTTCCGTGTTCACCCTCACTCTGGTCATCCTCCGTGTATGTTAGCAGCTTTATTTTCACCCTGCCGTATAAACTAGGAAAATGCTGTTTATTCTTCCCATTTCGAAGTTGGAAAAGTGAGGCAGAAGAGAAAACGGGCCACAGAAAAAGTCCTTAGTTGCTCTGCACCTTAAGGTCTAATCTGCTGTAATCTTTGCACCTCTTTTTGTGGAGTTCACTTTTCACGAAAGTACGTGCGCGTGAGAAGGAAATCCTGAATTCCCACAAAATGGTAGCACTGGTTTCCTAGCCCTGTACCAAAAGCAAACCTTTCCTGTTTGGGGTTTTCCTCTGTGGGGAATTCACAGTGGATGCTCTTTGGCTGGCTATTCAAAACATCTTTGGGATTTCCTCTTTGGAAAGTTCCCATCTTCCCATTTTGCAATCTTGCAGGTCCAGTTCACTACTCCTGCCTTTTAAATTGCCTCTGAGACTGAATCTGTCGGTTTGTCTGGTTAGTGCTCTCATTTCAGAAGTAACCTTATCTGATGAGAAAGGTCCCTGGTTTCTAAATTATGCCATGAGAGAGACATGGGCAAAGAAGAAAAATAAAGATTTGTTCTGCAATGACTGCTCCCTTCCTGCTTTCCCACACTTTGCTCAGAGTAAACGGGCTCTTGGTCTAATTCCTG